ATTTTTGTCATGCTTTTCACTCTTATCCTTCAGCTCAAGGCTTAAATAGTTTAAAATGAGGGCAGGGATTCTTGTAATTGTTTGTGCGGTTTGAGTATAAACCCAGCTGTCAAAAATCAAAATATAAGGTCTGTTTTATCAATAAAATATATTATAAAATTATATTTATAATATATAAATTTTATATATTATATATAAAATTATATTTTGATAAAAGATTATATATTTTATCAAAAATAAGATCTGTTAGGAAATGGTAGTATTTTGCTAAGAATCGAACATAAGAGTATTCTTCAGATTTACAATTGAATTATTACAGGTTTTTATAATATTGTAATAAGATGTAATTACTAAGGTTGTAACTCAAAACCTAAGTTGTAGTAGACTACATACAAGCTTAGTCAGACCTTGTGTTGCAAGTAGGGTCAAGGACAAGAACAGATACTAAAATTTTGCACTGTTTGAAGGTGTTTCTCCTACTGTTTGCACTGCAAACACGCCTTTGTTAGGCAGCACACCCCATTTAGGTGAGAACTGAAATGCTGACAAGGCTAATGGCATTCAGCATTTGCCTCACCTGGCATTATGGGTAAAAAAATTACTGTGAAAGCATGAAAAAGCTCTTATAATTTGCACTTCAGTTTAGACAGGAGTTTAATTAGGAAATGCAGAAACTTGTATTGAGTAGACACCTCACAGCAACAAGAGTTTGCAAGAGGTGAAGTATCCCTTTGGCTGGAAGACAAATGCAGCGACAGCCTGAAATCCATCTCTGTACACCTTATATAAGCTGAATCTACTGATTCAGCAGATCCTGAGATCTACTGATCCCTTTGAAGCTTCGAGCTCCACTCTGAGTATGGTTCTTACCCATCCTCTCTGTTGTGCATTTACCACTGAAATGAGCAAAATCCCTTCTGTTCTCCAGTATTCATACCCCACTATTGAAGGACTTCACTGCTATCCAGGACAAATCAATTTTTCAAGTCTGAACCTGAATGTATGACTAGTTGTGCAGTGAGTCATCTGATATGGGGCTTTGGTCACAGCCTGACTTTGTGGAGGCACCACAGAGTGCCTCCTTATGAGGTTGTAAAACAAGATGAAAAACACTCAGAGTGAGGAAAGCTCAGAGGTGAAGGAGGATAAAAACATTGTAAAATCAACTGTAGCTGCCTGGGATGTATCAAAGGGGAGATGCTTTACTCTAGATTCATGACAGGCATACTGGCTTATTCTTTTTTTGCCAAAATATGCCTCTCTCTTTGTATTTTTTTTGTGTAAGCATGTTGTCACATCTCCATTGTGTGCTGTGTGTTGTGTCAGAGGCTCCTGCCCTGTGCTGCACCCAGGCTCTGCACTGGTAACCCTCCTCTTCAGATCTGTAGAGGAGCAGTAAGTAAATGGATTCCCACAAATTCTTTGCTGGGAAAAGCTTTTGAGCAGTTTGCAAGCCTTGTTATTGGTAGGGTATAGCTGATTACCTAGAGTTAGTGGAGGGGTAGTGGAAGCAATTTCATATGCAGACAAATAGCAGCAAAATTTCTCATGCCATTCATGTGATTTATAAGCCTCTGCAATTATCTGCATGACCTTCGTACTTGTAAGTGCAACTAAGAATGTAATCTGTGCCATAATTGTAGCCTTTCCCTTCTCCAAGGCATAAAAAGCACTGTGTAGCCAGGAAATAAGAAATAGGCAATCATATGGAAGATTTAGCTGAAAATCTGTCACTTATTGGAAACTGTTTGTTTGCTTCTAAACTTAGGTTGCATATTTTTGTTTTAGATACCATTAAATATAGATATGAAACATGTAGGAATTGTAGCAAAAGATAGATACTGAGTTTCTGTTCAGCAGCTGTAATTTAGCATGTTGTAAATTGGGGTCTTCCCAGAACTTGCTTGTGGTTATGTTCAATAGACTTATTAAAAAACCCAAAACCCCTAAAAATCCCAAAACCCCTAACTCATGCCAAGAAACCTCCCCAGAGTGGGAGGCCTTTTTTTGGCCTTTTTGAAAAACTGGCCCTTTTTGAAGAGCCAGTGTGAATGCTCATGCTTGCCTCCTGTATTATTACCCCGGCACATTTTTCCCCAGACATCTCTGACCGAGTGCCTGGGCTAAGCATCTCACAGACAACAGTGCTACAGCTCAAGCCTTCCTTAATCAGTGTTTGCTCTGTGTGAAGATTTACAGCAGTGTCGTTTTTGGTACGTAACGCCATTTCCAAATGTTGTGGTTTTAAACCAATAACTAAGAAAATTACTTATTTCTTGCTGTGAGATATGGATTAGAACAAAAGCAAAACAGGCATAAAACTTAAAAGGAAAAAAAAGAAAGTTTATTGACAAACCACAATAATAAGAACAGCAGAATAAACTTCCAGAAAAACCTTTTCATCACTTATCTACCCACTATTCCCCTGTTCACATGACAACAGAGACAAAAACTTTGGAACTTTCATGGTTAAAACAATTCCAATTCTTGCTACAGTCTTTTCACCAGTCTTTGTAGAGAAACAGAAGTTTCTTCCTGTTAATTTATGGAGTTTCTCACAAGAAAATTATTTTTGTTATAGTTTTCTATTGCCCTAATGTTAGCTGCTCAGAGCTGCTGTTATCAGAGTTCACTCCTCCCATTTTCACATCACTCTGAAGTGTGTATGGGCCATGAGTCTAGAGATAGCATTTTTAAGGATAAGTTATTCAAAGGCAAAAAAGTCTTCTTCATCTGTTTCTGTGAGCTTCATCAGAAAACAGTTTTCTCATTGCCTCTCAAGGCTTCAAATCTCCCAGCACTTCACTATACCATAATTACTCTACTTTTTACTCAAATTTACACTTTGAACACTTTATTCCTCTCTAGATACTGTATCATGAATTAAAGGAGTTCTTTTCAGGACTTCATTGTCCATCTCCATAGTTTTAACAGAAAAATATTTCAGCTTAATTAAAGCATCTTCTTAATTCTCTACCTCTCCTGAAGCTTCTTTTCTTTCCTGTCACTGGTAGTTTATAAAGTCTCTTTTCATGTTGATCTCTCTCTCTCTCTCTCTCTGGATAAAAACATTAATCCGCAAGTCTCATCTGGGTAATGAAAGAGTTAAAATCTTTCTCAGGCTTTTGTAGACGGTTTGGTGATCTCTGCCGAACAGGAGCTGGAGCCATCTGAGATGGAGGGTCTTTCATGGCTGCTCTGGAGAGTGTGGTCGCTGTCTCTGCTTCCTGCAGGTCCAAAGCCTCTCCCCCTCCTCACTCGGCAGTCTCCAGTGAATTTAGTTACAGCAAAACCTGCAGCCGAGCCAGAGATCGGCTCGGCCCGGCCTGGCCCGGGGAAAACCTTCCCCAGGCCCCCCCATCTCCCGGCCGGGAGACGGGGCAGGCCCGGCCCCATCCCCGCCCGGCCGCATGGCCTGGGCAGGGACGGGAGGCCTGGAGCTCTGCCTCCCTCCACAGCCAGGAAACAAAGAGAACCCAGAGAGCTCTGCTTTTACATTTTAAAGTAGGGTTCACAAGTTGATCCCACTTTTCAATGGCCAAAACTGCTGTCAATTCTCAGCAATGACCGATAATTGGTCAGGAGAAAAGACTCCAGGCAGTTCCCATCAACTCCAACTCCCTTAAAGGTAAAGTAACTCCATGACACCAAAACTCCGCTTATAATAAACTTACTTTGCTGCAGTTGCACTGTCTGCTTGCAGACTTATCTTTTCAAATCCTGTATCATCTGTGATTCCCTAACTGCCCTTCCTGGTCCTTTTCATACGTTTTTATATGACTGTTTGAACTTTTCTCATGATTCATCTGTGGCTATGGCACCCCTCCATAATTTCTCAATTCACTTATTTGTGGAGTGTGTTAGATCTAAACCATACCACAGGGTTGTTTCTCCCAATCCTTACAAAATCTGTATTTCATGAGTGCAATTATTTTTAGGAATGTTCTTGGATTTAGGGTGAATATTTAAAATAAGGTAGTCAGTTGATATCCTAGAGCTAAAGCTAAGAATATTACTCCAGAAAGGAGCACAGAAAGTCAGAGGCAGGTGTAGATCCACTCCTGAAAATGGGAAAGCTAATTAAGAGAGCAGCTGGAGGAAGCAGTTTTAAATGTAGAGTACTGGTGGGGTTTTTTGTGCATCCTGCAAAAGCCAGATTCTAAGTTACATCTTTTTGTCACCATCTATAGGTGTGTTATAAACTAACGCTTCCCATTTTTTTTCAAATACAGAGAGCAGAATGGAAGAACAGGAACATTGAACGCTGAAAATTTGATTTGGGCCAAATGGACTTCATAATTCAGTTCTGAGCAGTGTGCACTTAATGTCTCACATTTTGTTCACCTCCAAAATTAAAGCTTCTTTTTTAATGACAAATTCACAGAAACTTGTGTCTGACCTCCTTCCTACAAGCACTGCTGTGCAGGGTTTCTTCAGAAAAGAGGCTGATACAAAAAAACCAGAAAAAATACCACTCTTTTTGCCCCAGTATTCCTAGTTGGAAGCAGAAGAAAGCAAATAGGACAAAGCCCAAACCCAGTGCAATAGGCTTCTTTCCTTGCTTTTTGGAATGAGTCTAGCTCCTGTTGCTGAGAGGTATCCTGAATATAACCTCACAGAACTAGGGGTGCTGTGCTGGGGTTCAAAACACTTCTGGAAACCTGCAGGGTAGGACTTTTGTGGACCACAGCTCTCAGGTCCCTGGGGTCCTGACTTGGTGAGGAAGAGGAAAAGGATCTGAACTAGATCGAGGGAGAAAATGTTGGCAGATTCCTTACCCCTTCTCCTCTGGGCTAAAGCATTTTTATGCTTACCTCTTGAAACAAAAACTTCTGCTTCATTATTTACTTTTGAGGCGTAGGACAAGTCATAGGATTATTACTGAGAAGTACAAATCACAAGACACAGTAAGAGCCTGGAGACTTGATGATAACAAGTGCTTCCTCAACGCTTGGTTAATATTTACCTGTGGTAGAGCAACTATTTAAGCAATTGTCGATGACTTGGTCATAACTTCTGCTTTCAGGAGCAGAGCACAGTGTGTCTGACGTGCTTTGAGAGGTTTTCTGAAGACACAGGGACAACTTTTATATCAAGACAAACTCTTAGGAAAGCTTCTCTTACAGCACTTGTTATTGTCTCAGCTTGTTGAAAATGGGGGAAGTAAACAAATGCATGAAGTACTCCATGTTCATCTTCAACTTCTTGTTTTGGGTAAGTTAGTGTTTTATCTCTTATTAGTGATGTATGAAATGTGTTTACCATTATCTGAATGCTGCAGTTAGAGGAATTGCAAAGAAAATAGAGCATAAGTGGAACCAGAGTATGATTCTAAATCAGGGAGGGGAGAATATATTTAACTTTTGCCCTTCCCTTTGTCTTTTTCCATCTAAACACCTTTCCCTCTGCATTCAAAAGTAGATAAGCTACAAATCTGTCTCCCTGTTCATCTTGTGCCCCTTATGTCAAGGGACATCACTCATCTCAGTCAGAAGATAACAGACTCTCTAATAACAATGCACAGTTCTCTTCCTTTTATTGCTGTTGTTTGCATGCAAGATCTTGAAAATGTTGTTGCAACAGAAAATGTGGAAAATTTACTTGAATTTTTAGCCTCCTAATTGGGAAATGGTTTTCATACCCTCTTTGTGGTTCTTTGCTTTACATTCAGTGCATAATTAGTTTCTGATGGTGGACACTAAATGGGTGTAAGAATGTATGTGCTGGCAGTACTGCCACAGCTCTACCAAGGTCGATACAGCACAGCAGCAGGCAGGTTTCTGGGTGTTATTTGAACCTTATTTGTCTATTTATTACATCTCAGTTGGGTTGCAAGAATTTCAGGTCCTGAAAGCTCTGGAAAGGTTTGAGTTAAAGAACATTTCTGTCATGGTTCAACCTCACTGTCAGATTTCCTGAGAGAGCTTTGTCAGGTTCACCAGGGGTTCACTGAAACCAGAAGTGGAACTACTAGCCACATTATGGGCTTTGCCTCAAGGGATTTTTTTAAAGTGAAAAGGTGATAGCATTCAAAAGGGACCACAAACAGTAGCCTTGGAAAATTTGTGGCTAGCCCAAATTCTTTGATTGCTTGTGGACCTCACAAAGAAATTCCTGACAGACCAGTGAAGGTTTGGACTGTCTCCTCCAGTTTCTTCCTACAGTTTTATCAAGGCAGATTGAAAATTTTTGACATGTGTATTGAAGTTTTTATGCAACAGTACTTACAAGAATTCCTAAGTTTCTGAATTTGAATTTCTGCCCCTCAGGAAGTTGTTCCTGTTTTTCTGGTTTGACCCCAGCAACCAAGTACCACGAAGACACTCACTCACTCCCCCACCAGCAGGATCAGGGAGAGAATTGAAGGCATAAAAGCTGGGAAATTTGTGAGTTGACATATAGACAGTTTAATAGGGGAAACAAAAGTCATTCATGCAAGCAAAACAAAACAAGGAATTAATTCCCAGCTTCACATGGGCAGGCAGGTGTTCAGCCATGTCCAGGAGGGCAGGGCCTCATTATGTGAAATGTGAATGCAAATGCCATCATTCCAAACGTTCCCTGCCTTCCTCATTCTTTCTCCCACCTTTATCTACTGAGCATGATGTCAAAAGGTCTGGAACATCCCTTTGGTCAGTTGGCGTCACCTGTCCTGGCTGTGTCTCCTCCCAAATTCCCATGTGCCCTCAGTCTCCTCACCAGAGTAGCAATATGAAAGGAGAAGGAAAACTTGATGTAAGCCCTGCTCAGCAATAGCAAAAACTTCTCTATATTATCAACCCTGTGATCAGCACAAATCAAAACCACAGCCCTATACCAGCCACTATGAAGAAAATTACCCCAGCCAAGACCAGCACACCTGTTCACATCCATCTGTGTTTTCTGTAAGCCAAAACATGGGCAAATGTCTCAGACTAGCATTAGAAAAGCTCCAAATTACTTCTAGAGTGAACATTGGAATAGTGTTCCATGCCTTCAGTGACAGTATGGATTTCCTAGGGAAAAAAGAAGAGTGGGATCCTGGGGGCATCTTGAAATAAGCACATGTGGAACAAACTTCCTATCTTTATACCAAAGTTGGAAAACTCATACTGTATTCTGAGGAAGAAAATGCTGAGATTGCTGTGCATGGGTCTGCCTGGATGGAACAAAAGACAGGAATGCAACTGTAGTTAACTGTTTTAGGGAGGGTGATTAGTTTAGCACGATTAAGATTGGGAAGAACAGATGTATGGGCTGACAGGAATACAATGAAACTGAATTTTTGGGCTCACAGTCCTGTCTCTAATTCATAGAAATCATTAAGCTGCAACAGTAAGTAGAGGGAACAGGAACTCATCCCACAGCTGCTCTCTCTCTAGTGCTCAAGGCAGCTGGCAAGTGGAAAACTACTGATAGTGGGAAATGAAAGTGACTTTAACCTAAATAGATAAAAATGACAGTTGCACAGTTGAGTTGTTACCTGATGTCCTCTCCTTTTACACCCTTTGCAATCTTTCAGGGAGTGTCCTCTCTTAGAAGACTCAGGAATGGGCTTCCTAGCCTTCTGATGACTTTTCCTGAGCAGCTCATGCAGTATCACGCTAAGTGTGTGTAAGCCCTGGAGTAGTCTAAAATAGCTCTGCAAATTGACTATGGCTTCACCACATGATGTGTGTCCCCTGGGTATCTACATGCCCATGAGCCCAATGCTGGGGCACACAAATAGAGTTTTTCATCCTCCCAGTTTCATGAAAAATAGCAGACTATGGGCTTTTAAAGATCTGTGCTTTGGAACTGGGCACTGATACGGAGTTTCTAATAGTCCTTAAATAATCCTTGTCAGTTTTGTGCATTAAACCATCATATATGTGTTAGGATTTGTTTTCTTTCCCTTCTTTGGAGTTTTCAGGATATCCAGTCTCACCTTCTGTTCTCATTGTGTAGACTTCTGCTACTCCACATCATGCAAAATTGTAGAATTACCTTTTTATTCACTGAATACTGGTGTCTGACACTAGTTCTAAGCAACGTGTTTAGTGACAGAGCCTCTTTGAAGTTAATACCAGACTTGCAATCCCATCTACAAACAAAGGGGCCCCTTCCCTGAACCATAATGTGAACATCTCAGTCCCTGAAGTAGCAACAAAGCTTAGCAGGTTTGCTGAGCCAGAGACCACATTCTCTGTAGGACCTGCTTTGAGCTATAATTTCAGGTGTCTCAAGGAAGTATTCCAGACAAATGTTTTCTTTAACAGAAGCAACCTCATAAAACTTCCTCCTGATATCCCTGAACTGAATGTTTGTAAAGAGTGTGCCAGTGGAGGAAATTCCCTGTAAGTTTGGTATTTGTGTGTATGAGAATTGCAGTCTTAATACAGTGCTGGCTCAGCACTATGTCAGGCTCATCTGAGGTGATATTGATTTAACCAGCCAGGCTGTATTTCTCCCTCACACCAAAATTGAAAGCTTGAGAAGGAGCAACCAAATTTGAGGGACAGCAGGACAGTTGCTGTTCAGTTTATGAGGCTGAAACAAGATCACTGATTCTTTATTAAGGATTAAGGCAAAAATATAATAGCCATCTAATTTTGGGAATATGGGTGAAGACATTTGCAAAGAAGCTCATTTATTCCATTGGAAAAGTTAATAAAAAATGAAATTTACTGGAATGGAAGTTTACTTACTTGAAACTTTATTTTAAGAAAATAAGAAAATTTACTTTAAGAAAATAAAAATTAATATGGAGTATTGCAGCAAACTTGACATGTTCAACTTGGACCCTTTGGGAACAGACCATTTTATTTGCTATTTCAAAACTTTGTGTCTTTTTCTATACTTTGTATAGTATGAAAATAAACAGAAACAAAACTATTAAGATTTTGCTGAAATGGAGCATTTTTTATCAACCTAAAACAACTCCATTTTAAAAATTTAAAGATATGCAGATCTTACTAAAATTTTGATTTATAAATGATGTTTCTATTTTTACATCAAGGAAATATTGTGTTATTCCCATTTGATTGATGCGTTCCTGTGCATTTAGCTAAATTTGCTTCTACTACTCTGCTGTATTTTAATGGGGGGTCCTATGTAACAAAAAAGTCAGCATGACAAACTCTCTTTGGATTTGTAGCAATAGATGCTTCAGTGGAAACTTTCACATTAGCAAGCCCATGTTACCTGGTGAATAGCTACATCACTCACACAGTGCTGCTGAACAAGACTGAAATGTACAGTCATATGACACAATCAGTTTCTAGGCAGATTCAGCAGGATTCAAAAGGTTTCAGTGGGGAGTTCTAGTTAAATTTGATAACATGTTACAGTTGTCATTGATTGTACAACTTCCTTTTTTATGTTTAAAATGTACTTATAGGAGCTTTACTTAGAGCTAGAAAATGTGTATTATCCATGTCTGAGTGCTGGCCCTATTCCATATTCAATAATCTGCTAAGGTCATTAATGTCTTTGATGCTGAATATTATATGAAAACTTCTGTGAGGAAAGTTTTTTAAAGAAAAAATATCTAAACCATATAAAAATAACTATTTTAATTTCAATAGTCCCTTCTTCAAGGGATATTCATAAGAACATTTCAGGGCCATTTATGACTTGAGTAATTAATGGCAGATGGAGATAATTCTAAATCTGACTAGTCCCTGATCCTCAGGGATGTCTCTTTCCTACCTGCCATCTCATGAGGCACAATCCTTACACCTGAGTAGCCTCTTGGTTACCTATGTCCAACATTTAATAAAGAGAAATTCTGTGTAAGAATCATCAACAACAAGGTTAGGAATAGAGTGACTGGCATACAGAGGAACAGCACCTCAATGATCCATGAAACAGGAGCACAACTAGAGATGAGGGAATGTATCTGGACCTGCAAATAATCTTCCCTGACTTCAACATCTTAAGAAAAGTCATGCTGGTCAAACATTCACATGTACTTGTCTGTTTTCTGTAAAAATATAATGGGAACAATTACTCTAGGAATTTTATGGGACCTATTCTAAGGACTGGACGTGGCAGATATTGCTGCATTTGAAACAGCAAAAAGATTTTATTTAGAATTTTCCTGGTAGCTTTACCATAGAGAATGTGTCCAGATAATGTGTTCTGAATAAGTCTAGAAACAACAGACATGCAAACATCCCTTATCAAATCTCATGTTTCCATTATACAAGAAACAGACATGTTTTACACATACAATAGCAATTTATATTCCTCTCTCATCTGACGGAATTTCTGTGTGCTTCCCAAACACATGTATAAATCATCATGTAAATGCATTGTCCTCTGGGGTGGAAACATCAGGGATTTGGTGCATACCTGAAGATTTAACTACACTTACGAATTTTCCTGGAAATGAATCAATATTCTCTGCTCCAACAATTCATGTTTCTTTTGCTTTGCCAAACAAATGATTTCAGAAGTTTGGACAGCATATGGTGCAATTTGGATACTGAATGTTAGTAAAAAAGTTTCTGACCTTTCTAACCTGTCTTTATTTTCTCCCACAGGTGTGTGGTTGCATCATTTTGGGAGTCTCCATATGGATACGTGTTAGCAGTGCTCAGCAGGTAAATGCATGCAGTCATACCAGAACCGTGTAAAATGTGGAAACTACTGCATACCCTTTAATTTCCCATCTTCATTTCCAAAATTTTTTTAATGTTTTTGTTGAGGTAGTTTGTGTGGGTGAAGAGGAATGCATTTTATTATGTTAAGATTAACCATCGTGGTGCAGGCAGTCAGATAAAGTGATTGATGCAAGCAGAGATATGTGACTGTGAGAAGTAGCTGCTAGTGTTATTAATCTAATTTCATGTTATTCATCTAGTTTCATCTATTAATGCAGTTTCATGCAGATGCACAGATTTCTGTTTGAAAACGTGTCTCTCACCTCTAATGAAAAATAATCATGCTTTTGTTAATGATTTTGGTGGTATAGAGAATAATGTGGAGCCATGCAGCTCATAGACTTTTCCACGTTTTTCCCTATTACAGTAGTATAGTCATATCTATTCCTAGGGTTACTCCATATGTTTGTAGGGAATATTTTTATCCTTCTCACTGTCTTCAACAACACAGTTCTCATTTCACCAGTAACTGCAACTTTGAAAGGGAGAGAGGATTTTTCCTTTCAGTTTTCAACACGTCCTTAAAAACATCTTATACTTTTCCCCTCATATTTATATATAGTTTTAAATGCCCAAGAATCTAGAATGACAATGTCCTAAAAGTCCTCCTGGAGGGTAGAAAAAAAGACCCTGAGTTGCCATCCTGGATTTTTGTATGGGTTATTAAATTACTTCAGACATTATGACTTTCATTTTTTGCAAAGCTAGGAAAAAAACAGTTTTGAGGAGCTCTTAATCTTGCAGACATGCAGCAGAGGTTGATCCTGTTGTTTCAAAGACCCCATGGCCCTGTAGGCCCTTTTGCCTAGTGTGTACCCAATGGCACTGACTCTAAGGTTTAAGCAGTACATTTCTTCAAATGAATTTGGGCCATTAAATGGAAAGCTTAATTTGCATTCTTTTTTTTTTTTTTGAAAAAACTCTCTGGCCATAGAAGTGAAAAAAGAGCCAGGTGTCATATGGAAGCATTTTTTTCAGCTTTCAGATTGAGCTTTTAGCATAGATTAAGTTGCATTTTTTCAGATAACTCCCCTGTTTCTCTAGCACAATCTGTTGGTTAAGAACAGCAATTTTTAAACCAGTATTTTCCCACCTGGAAATAAAAAGATGGTGGAGGTAAGAAGATAGCTTTGTATATTCCCTGCCATTTGGCTGATGAGACTGTTACCCTTAGGCAGGCCCAGATGTCTCATGTCTGGCAGAGCATGGATGCAAGAGAACTTGATTCAAGTTCTCTACTGTGTGTAGTTCTCACTGTGTGTAGTGGGTATGCAGTGGCATGACACTGTGTCATCAGGTAAAGTAGGTCATGGTGGAGAGCTCTGCCATTCTCTTCTCTGGAAGAGGAAGAATCACTACTTTCACTCCTCAATCCAAGTTTTACTAGATGCTAAAACTACCATACTTTATACTGAACAATCTTTGGTATGATGGCTCAAACGATGCAATGGAACTCGGAAGACCACAACCATTACCATATTTTATTTTTTGAGAGATTTCCTATTTAGAAAAGAATGTTTAAATGTGTGTCAAACTACTTTCCTGAAGTGACACTTAGTACTCCCCAAAAACATACGAATTAAGAGTTAGGACCAAAATTGAAAGCATTTTCTCACATTTTTGCCTCCAGGCAGGCAAAGTTCCCGTTCAGAACAAATGCATGTTTCGCCTCAGTAATAATTGAGCAGACCATAAGGATTTGGCTGTAGATGAATAGAGCTTTCTAAGAATAAATAACAGGGGGTTCAGTCCAACTTGGAAAGGGAAAGAACAACACATTCTTCAAATTATACTTGTCTATATACCTTTGCAATTTCCATCAGAAGATAAATGTGACAACTTCCAGACATTTTTGCTAATCTTGGCACCGGTCACACTGGAAAATATTCTTTGAACATTTTTCTCTCTTTTGGCCTTTGGTCTTAGTCAATCCTGTGGGAACTGAATAATTTGATGTTTAATAATATTGAGGTATATGAATTGTTTAGTTGAGTGTCCCACACATCAAAATAAAGTTCTCATCTCTGAGGATAATATTAGAGATCAGACCTGGGGAAAAAAAAAAAAGGAAAAAGAAAAAAAAGATAGAAAGCTGATTTGTAAAATACATCTAGTATTTCTCTAATATATGCAGCATTGCTCTGAAAAGTGTTCTCTCAGGAACAGTTACAGAGTATGTTCCTGGCCTTCTAATGACAAACAGAGATTTTGTTTCTTTAACATTGGGTTAAAGTAGGAGAGGTTTTGAGGTTATCAAATCTCCTACTTCCAGTAAAAAGCAAAGATTCATTGACTGAAAACCAACTGAAAGCCACTTTAAAGACAGAAGATCTTTATTTATTCATTTACTCTGCAAAATTGATTTTCATCTTGTGCAGAAACAAAGGTTATGAAAAACCAGGTTTTACAAAGCTCTCCACCACAAGATTTGAGAAGGGAGCATTAGAGCTTTGTTTATTTATGAACCAGAATTTCTCCATAGTTGCTATTCAGTATATTTATCAGTTACAAAATAATTATCTTATTTTGGGGAACACAGATGTTTTTAGGAGGACTTCCTTGTAGCTGAAAGATATTTTTTTTTCTCTCTCTTTTCAGGGGATAGACAGCAGTATGTTTGCAGGAGTTAATCTACTAATAGCCGTGGGAGCCATCATCATGATCCTTGGGTTCCTGGGGTGTTGCGGTGCTGTAAAGGAGAGCCGGTGCATGCTGATGTTGGTAGGAAATAAAAACATTTCTCTACCTTTAACAGCCCACAGCTACATATGGTGGATGGAGTCCTTGCAAGTAGTATCAAATGAGTATTGGAACCTTTTAATTTAACCAGAAGCATGATTATGATACTGTGCTTTCATTGCTTACCTTGAGATTGGGCCCCTCCTGAATTATGTTGTGATAAAAATGATAGTTGGTCTCATGAACAAGAAGACAGGGTCTAGAGAGTCTTGAGCACATCACTAGATTTTTTTCCATCCAGCCATCATCAAAGTTCCCTCCATCAACTTTCACCCATTACCTATTATTACTACCTATTTAATTTTATAAATTCCCAGTTGCTCCCTTTGCTGGTCCACCTAGAATGTCCTGTCTGTCCTCCTGCCCAACTCTCACCTGCACACTGTTATCATGACACTGTGCTGGTGTGGGCCTTGTTTCGATCACCAGCTGAGCACGCTCTGTCTGGAGTACCACTTTTTCTCATCGTACAAGAAGAAATAGTTGGAGAAGCTCTGACTGGAAAGTCATTCTACCTACCTGGTTATTCAAGTGCATGAAAGATAAATGTTAACTTAAAAGAAATTCTATCATCTTGGTCAAAAGTAATGTAGTTTTCTACCCCTTTTTTTTTTCTTCCTAGTTTTTTATTGCACTGCTTCTGATCCTGATTCTTCAGGTCACAGGAGGTATTTTAGGAGCAGTGTACAGATCTCAGGTACAGTATTATTCTATATTTTCATTTATGCCTTCATATAGTTTTGTTTCTTCCCCAAAAAATCAATAATATATTTTAACTTGCAGGTGGAAACAGCCTTTAACCTTACTCTAAGCACAAGTGTGAATGCACTGCAAAGTACTACAGGAGAATATAAAGAGTATCAGGAGGAGTTCCAGAAGTTTGAGAAACAGGTAATTAATCAGTAAAAAAAACAAAGGGGTTGTTGCTATCTGTTTCGTCTTTGGTATCTGTCTGCACTTCATTTTATGACTACTCTGCCAAAGATTTGAATTTCATTCCCTGGGGATGGGGAAGGGTCTGACTTAAAGGCAAGCTGAACCACCACAGAAGGGACTTCTGTTCCCTTGATAGGACATGATCTTCCTGTGATGATTTCTTTGTGCAATAGTGTTGTCTGTAAGAGCAATGAAGTAAGGACACACCACATGCAAGTAAGACTGACTTAGTTAGCTAAACTCTTTCATGAGAAGACTGCGTGGCCTTTTCTTACAGCTTTCCCTTCTGAAGGAGCATTAATCCTTCACCATATCCCAAATAAGAGCTCTCTGGTACTTTTAGGGAAAGATTACCCCAGGGATGAAGAAAACATCAGGAATGTATTTAATTTGCAGCATCCTACTGCTATGAAATCATTAAATGCCATGTTTTACTGTGTGAGAAGAGGGAAGAAAAATATGATGATAAGTTTGTTTTCATTGTGTTTTTACTTTTCCTGACACCACCATCCTGCAAGACCGCAGATGGTGGATGCTTAGTGCGAGCTTGCTCCTGAGTATCTCACAGAGAATACCCTGGAATCTCATTGATAACATTGACAGCATACACCCCTTCCCCTCTGGGTCTGCTCATTGACAGAATGCCTGCTGTTCTGGTTTTTTAGTCCCTATGGGTGGTGACTTTAATGGAAAGACTTCAAGTTGATTTTTAGGTTTTTAAAGACTGTTGTATGAAAGAAAATGAAACAAGAAACAATATTTAGGTGTCTTATGTTATTTCACTTCTTCTTCCACATTCCACCTCCAGTCTTGTCCTCTACTTCTGAGACAGTTTATTTCTTCTGATATAATAAGCACTCTGGAGAGATAAGCAAAATTAAAAATCCCATAATTACTGCATTAATTTTTAAATGTACCAGGACTTACATGTTATATCCCACAGCCTTTTCTTTTGTACAAAAATATGTGAACATTTCCAGCTGCTTTTTAATAAAGGGAGGACCTCAAACCCAGGCTTGCACCCCTGAGCTTTAGTGGCTTGAATATAGTGGAACATGAAGTGAAACTGCACCTGGTTTAGGTTTCACAAACCCCAAATGGAGCCCTGGTCTCTTCAGTCCATTTCTAATTTAAAGAGATAACCATTGTTCAAAGTGGTTATTTTCCTAGATTTCAGAGTTTTATGTGCCTGAATTTTACACTTCCAGCCTGGCTTTTCAAGATGTGAAATGTGGATGTTACTGGAGCTGGCAATTTACCTTCTGCAAGTATAACTTACAGAAAGAAGGCTTAATTCTCAAAAAAAATTATACTGGAACCCAGTGTTCCAGTTCCATTCTGGCACTGATAATTACTGGCTTTATAGTATGTTCATGTTTTTTTAGCATTCTATACTGAAAATCTGCTCTTTTTTCCCCCTATCTCTTCTTTTTTTTTAAAAAAAAACAACAACTGATACACTTACATTCTTATAAGTGGTATAGAAATGTAAAGGGTATGTATGTATGTTTGAGACATACAATTTTTGGACAACTTCCACATTAAAAAAGATGAAATAAAATTTGGTTTTTGTTGTTCCTCTCAGTTCCCTTAAACCGAAAATTACCTCTTTTTTGACTCTTGTCCCCATTTACTCCTTTCTTGCAGTTCCAATGTTGTGGATTGACAAACGGATATAAAGACTGGGGAGAAAATTTTAACAAACTTTCCTCAAACATGTGCCAGTGTGAACTAGAGAAGCCATCATCAGATCTCTGCATTAGATATGACAACAGATACATCTATAAAAAGGTGAGGAAAATGTTCACTCTTCTTTCCAAAGAGGCAAGTTTTAACCCAAGGTTATCTCTGGTGATTGGCATAGTCAGCAGTTCTGTATCCTTCTGAAAAGGCAAAGTTTTGCTTTCTCTTTCTAAGCCAGAATTACCCCCGTGCCACCTGTTAAGAAATGACTGTTCATAACTCTGCTCCTTCCTCCTCCTGAGGTGTCTCCAGTTTAGGCCTTTAGCAATCTGCATGGTTAGTGGTGAGGAAAATTATTATGACTTTGGGGTCAGGGAATGACTCTGGGTCAGAGCTGCACACCAGCTACCCTTTGGCTCTCATTCCTCTCTCAGGTTATGCTCCCACCCAGGTTCTTTGTGGTAGTAGACATGTTGACTTAGAGACTTTCAAAATGCTAAGGTATATTGAAAATCAAACACATTAAATGCAAGACCTTTGAGGTTTTATAATCCTTTAATAAAAAACCCACACTCATTTTGCAGGATCTGCTGGAAAGAAGCCTTACATATTGTGGTATTCATGGCAGAATATTCAAAGAGTTATTTCTTACAACTAGAGCCTCTTGAAAATCTTAAACCAATTAATGTAATAATAATAAGGCAAAATATCTGGTGACAGGCAAAAAGAAAGCACATCTAGAAGACTACCATCTAGTAGAAAGTAGAGATCTCAAATAAAAAACTTCATGGTCCCCTTATGAGGAAATCTGGATTCTATGGATATGAAAAAAAAATATTAAAAAGCAAATGCACGAAATAATTGAATAGCACAAAGTAATTGAAGTTTTATAATGCTGGTGGTGCAAAGTTTGCCAGTATGCACCTAGCACCTATCAGGTTTTAGCAAATGTCCATTCTGGTTGTATAATTCTCTAATTGCACAGCTCCTTAATCAGGTCCTGCCTGAGCAGTAATTTCCTCCTCATGTAGAGCCACATAAGCAAATGCTATTTTAAAGCAAAGAAACAGTCTTGTTAAGTAGAGGATACCGGAGCCCAATCTGGAAATAAGATGTATACAAAGAGGCTGTTTTGGCCTCAGGCAAGACCTCAAAGGACACATGAGAAGCCATCTGTGAAATTACTGCAGGTGCAAGATATCACTCATACAAACACATAGATTTCGTGGTGGTGTGAGATGCTAGTACAGAAATCCAGCTCTTCTGATACGAGAAAAATTTAAAATTCAGTGCAACTATGAGTCAGCTTAGGTGAGAGATTTTTAGAAGAGCTAGAAGGAGAAGACCCATGTGTTTATTGTGAGAGAGGAAATACGATGAAAAAATACAACCATATTTGGGGGGAAGACAGTTTTAGTGTTGCAACAGTAATGTAATTTTGATGTATTTAAGCTGTACTTGGCATTCCCTCCTGTTTGCAGGAGGATTGTCAGAGCCTGGAGATATAGTCTCTGTAAGAACAGACGTATGCAAATATTCCAGAGTGCCTCTACACAGAACTTCAGCTGTAGAATCATAGAATAGGAGGAGCTGGAAGGGACCCATCAGGATCATTGAGTCCAGTTCCTGACCCTGCACAGGACAACCCCAAGAATCACACCATGTGTGTGAGAGCATTGTCCAAACACTTCTTGAACTCTGACAGGCTTGGTGCTGTGACCACTGCCCTGGGGAGCCTGCTCCAGTGCCCAACCACCTTCTGGGTGGAGAACCTTTTCCTGATATCCAACCTAAACCTCCCCTAACTCAGCTTCATGGCATTTCCCTGAGTACTGTCACTGTTAATGAGAGTGAAGAGATCAGTACCTGCCCCTCTGCTTCCCCTCATGAGGATGCTGAAGACCCAAATGAGGTCTCTCCTCAGTCTCCTCCAGCCTGAACAGACCAAGTGTCCTCAGCCACTCCCCACAAGGCCTCCCCTCAAGGTCCTTCACCATCCTCATGGCCCTACTTCGGACAGTCTCTAATAGCTTTATATCTTTCTTATATTGTGGGACCCAAACCTGTCCCCAGCACTCAAGGAGAGGCTGCCCCACTGCAGAGCAGAGCAGGACAATCCCCTCCCTTGCCCTGGTGGTGATGCTGGGCCTGATGCCCTCCAGGACAGGGTTGGCCCTCCTGGCTGCCATGGCACTGCTGGCTGATGTTTAACTTGCTGTGGACCAGGATCCCTAAGTCTCTTTCTGTGGGGCTGCTCTCCAGCCTCTTGTTCCCCAGTCGAACACCAACATAACCAGAGCTGTAAAATCTGGCACTTGAGCTTGTTAAAGCTCATATGATCGGTGATTTCCCATCCCTCTGTTTTGTTGAGCTCTCTCTCCAGGGCCTCTCTTCCCTCAAGGGAGTCAAGAGGTCCTCCTAGGTCAGTGCTGGTAAACTTTCTTAGTATTCCTTTTAGTCCTGCATCCAAGTTGTTAAGGAACATGTTGAAGAGAACTGGATTGAGGATGGAGCCCTGCAGAATCCCCCTACTAACCAGACTCCAGAGTGATGTTGTCCCACTTACTGTAACTCTTCATGCCTGACCCATGAGCCAGTTGCTCACCCATGGCATAACATGGTTATTTAGCTGTATGCTGGATATTTTGTCCAGAAGGATTCTGTGAGAGACAGCCTCAAAATCTTTGCTGAAGTCCAAAAAGATTACATCTAATGGCTTTCCAAGATCAGTTAGGTGGGTTACCCTGTAACAAAAGGAAATCAAGTTCAACAAGCAAGACTTTGCCCTCATGAAGCCATGCTGATTACTCTCTTCCTTCCAGCCCAGCCTAAATTGGATAAACATTGGACAGACCAAACACTGGACAAAATTAATTTTGAAGCTAGGTTTTATAACTAAATATTTTTAGTTAATCCCAAATCTAATAATAAACTTTGAAGTTTCAAACCCAAAGATTAGATTGGTGGGAAACTGAAGTTCCCTTTCAGAACTGGTCATGGCTGCATTGGCTCTTTCCTAATAGTGAATGATTATCAAGTGAAATTAAGAACAAACACTTCTTTCCTTGTTTGCTGAAAATAATGCAAACATTAGGCATTACAGCTGTATGTCTTCCTTTGAAATAGTAGCTTTTTATGGTCGGCTACTAAATCTTCGTACTTGGGAAGGCAAAGACTTCCGCAGAGCATGAGGTACACATAACTGTGTTTTTATGTTCATTAGCAACAAGCCAGAGTAAATTCAAATAGGCTTATTTTAGCACAGAGTTAAACAGTGAGTTTGAGTTATTTTAGAAGATGCATGCCTATATAACCATAGGATAATATTGCTTACTTATAATTAATAATTTTGTTTTATTTTTCAGCCTTGTGGAGAAGTTATTATGCAACAAATTAAAGACAGTCTGATCATAATTATGGGGATTGCCTTTGGACTGGCTGTTGTTGAGGTACCAGTGTACACTGTTAAAATAATTAGTAGCTGACAAGCAATATGTTCTACTTGGAAATACATTGGGAATGGGATTAAAACACCTGGCTTGCTCAATTAATAGACAAGGGAAAACCACCCCTCACCTTAACTATAAATTTACTGTTGTTTTATATAAACATATTTCATTAAAGAATATGGCTGCTGAGCTGCAAACTTCAGGTGAGATTGGACCACCCTGTATAAGTGTATCACATCAGACATTTTCTTCCAAAGAATTGCCAGTCCTGAAGCCAGGCTGTGCCTTGACACTGAGCCCTGTGTACAGAGTGGTGTGCAAATAAACAGCGCCAGAAGACATGAGGAAGAATAGACAGATTTTTCCCCATCTTTCTCATCTTTTCTTGAGGAAACAGTCATCTTCTAAGGAAACTTAGCCTCTAAAGTACATATTTTTATCATTAAGAAGTTTTGGTACAAAATTATAATTCTGAGGCATTAAAACTTTAAGCATCAAGATGATGCATTAATGTGTCTGAGTGCACAGGAAAAGAAGTAAGGCTATCCAGTGAGCTACTTGATTTTGATTTCAATAGGAGAAAATGATAAAGAGACAGAGGATTTCATCATGATGCTTTCTTCAGCTATTTTTTTTCTTTTCACTCTTCCTTCTTGGTTTTCCTCCACCCTCGCTCTCCACCAGCGGACGTTTGAGGGAAAACCAGAAATGAGAAAGATTGCTGTGGAAAGTTCAGTCTGTTATTCAAAGCAAAAACTTCTCGGCAGAGGGCTGCTCTTCATGGTAGAAGAGTGGGCAACAGCCGCAGCTCAAAACTATGTTTCCAGGAAAATATTAATAAGTGGGGAAGAATTATGTAACTGCAGCACTGGAAGAGGACAGGCCACCAGCTTCTTACTCAGCACAGGCTTTCTGGTGTTTAAGGAGTTCTAAGTGGGCAGTCAGATCTCTCACCCATATGTTTACTTTGAGGGAAAAATAGGTGAAATATACTGATATTAAATGGCCTTCAAAATGTAATAGAAGTGTAAAATTGCATCTTTATCCCTAAGGCAAATTATAAGTCACTTTGCTCTAGTTACTGCAGTTATGTGAGTTGTAGCCTTTAGTTCATTGGCCATCATTCTTTCCTGCTCTCCAGCTGGCATTTTCTGTGCTGGCTGCCTCTCCCAATCATAAAAGGATTAGAAAACAACATGAATAAGCAATATGAGACTCAGCACAAATTGCAGATGGCAATTTACACTTGATAAACATTTAGCCTTTCCGTATTAACTCAAGCAATTGCAAATCAAAGGCCACTTGCTTAACTACCTCTCTGTTCTAGGAAATCACAGATAAAAAGAAGTGTGCTTCCCCCCTCTGCCTGATCCATTATGCCACTTGTGAGCTGTTACTGCTTTTAGCTCACCCTACTAGTGAAAATGATACAGATAAGAAGGGCCCAGTTTCATTTGGGTGCAAGTGCAAATGTGGGCATGGTATGTCAGGGAAGCCCTGTCTGTTTATTCCAGGTGTGAGTGTCTTAGCTGTACCTCTGTACTACATATGCTCTTCTCTGTCTCTGTATGAGACCTTATACAGATATATGTGATATTTATAGATAAAATACCGTATTTTTAGTAAATAAGGTATGTCAGTGTTTGTGGGTTCAAAGATGTCAGTTGGGCGCTTTCCACTTCTGTGGAACACCTTCACAGACTGGGCCTTCATGGACAGAGGCAGTCCATCTTTTAAACAAATGAAACTTCTCCATGGTGTCTGCAGTCTTAACCTGTGCTATAAACTAACTTCATTAAAGTGTCCTTATTTTGTAAGAGCCACATTTTGCATAGCATGTAAAACCAAGATATTTGCAAGCAAAATATTCCCATTGTGTATCAGTTGTATTCTAAGATTTCCAGAACTTCCGGGTAATACCAGAAATATCTTTTTTTTCAGATTCTTGGTTTGGTGTTTTCTATGAGCCTCTACTGCCAGATCCGGAGAAAATGAAACTGTGAAAATGTCAGAATGATGTCAGCAGTCAAATCAAGACCTTTCTAGAAAGAAGGCTAGAGATTTGGCTGGGCACATTCAGATGAATATATGCATGTCCCAGGCAGCTGTTCTGATGAAAATGGCAGCCCTTGCATGGGTGCTTGACAACTTGCAAAATGACATCTTTATATTTCATAAGACTTAATGATGTGAATATGATTTTTTATTTGCAATAAACATCTTTGTTTATGTTTCTGAGGTGTTTATTTTGTTCAAAGACAGCAATTATGTCATGTTGAGAGTCTGAGTTCACCATGTGGTGTGCCCTCATGAGTGTTAAACCACCCACAGCAGAGTCGTCATGAACAGCTGCAAACCATCATGCAAGCGGCTGACTGCTCCAGGGAGCTCAGGCCCCTGGGAACCTCTGCTAGTGGAGCAGGGTATTTTTATTAAGAGAGTTGTGGGTAAGGGTTTTGTTACCTGTGAAAAGGGAAACTAACTTGTAATCAAATAGGAAAGACACGTGTCCTTTCAAGGATGTTTAAATCAGTATCTTGGCAGGTGAGATGGTGGATCTCATGTTGCATAGATGAGCTGGATTTAGTGGCATGTGTTTTGTAAACAGGCATCAGTGGTGAAATCCAAGCCCACAGGGAGGCAAGGCATACACAGAAGTCATGCAGGTAAGGCTTTGCCCAGAGCAGCTAAGGCAAGTGGGTGGACAAACACAGGGCATGGCTGGCAGCACAGCAGCAGCCTCATGCAGCCTGCCTGCCTTTGACTGACCAGTGCATGCAAGTGTTTGGGCCCCGAGGTACTGACAGCCCTGATTGCCCCTGCCCAGCCACCCAGGTTTCCCTGCACACTGCCCATGGCAAGGACAGCACTTCAGCCTCCTGGGCCAGCTGGTCCCTGCCCCACCAATGTCACAGTAGCTCTGGTCTCCAGCTCCCCTGCCTGGTCATGGAGTCCCACCCATGTGTCCTGGTGTGGCCTCAGCCCATCCCCGGGAAGTGCATGATGCTAGGGGCTGTGGCTGCCCTGGTGCCCTGCACTGCCCCACACCTGACTGGGACAGAGGGATGGGCCAGGCTCTGCCTTGCCACCCCAGTGGAACCCATGTGGTCCCAACCCCTGGGGAGCTGCTGGCCTAGGTTTCCCTCTAACAGAAAGTAATTGGTATCAGAGACAAGATTTTTAAGGTATGAGGATGTTTAATAATGCCCTCAGGGACATCATAATGCATAATGATGGTGAGGATTTACACAGCAGGCTGATGGCCTCCCTGCTGTATTGGGATTAGCTGATTTATCCAGCTCCACTGGACCCCCATCTTCATAACAGGAGCAACTTTAAAAACCTCACACAGCTGCTCTTAAGAGAAAACCACGTATCATGCTCCTCAAGTTAAAGACCCCTCAGGTGCCCTCGACTGTCTCCAAGCTCATTCTGTCTGCTCCCATCTTGATAAGCAATGCAATTTTTGCTTACAAATGCATTAAAAGCTTCCCTTGAGCAGAGACCTTTGTCCATGCCTTATTCCAGCAGAACTGGGTTCAGGTAAAATTCATCTGCAGCAACCATTTTTTTTAAAAACTCAGCCAGAGGAAGTTTCTGTCTCATCCCCCATCCTTCCCTAGCACTCAGACCATTAGGCCAAGCAGTGATCCTGCTTTCAGTAATTCATGTGTCTCCCAGGAAAGTCATCTAGCTACCAGACAGTTCTGGCACTTGTCCTTCCCTCTGCTGAACCTCAGAAGCTGTTCCAGAAGAATTCAAGCTTTGTTGGACCAGAGAAGAATCATGACTCCATAACCCAGCTGTACTAACTGGAAAAAGAAATGCTGGCTTCTAGTTCCTCCTCCTCCTCCCAAGAGTGTTTTTTTTTTGCATATCTTATCCATGATCTGAAGTCCTGGGAGCTAAGCCTGAATCACCCAGATTATGGTATGGCAGCTGGAGTCCTGGATTACAGAAAAAAAATTGGGAATATGGAGAGAGAATTGCACCTTTCTCTTCTTCTTCCTCCTTCCCATTAGGACTGTTTTCCTATTTGAATGAAGGACCAGAGGGACTCCTATAGAGAGGGGTCTTAGAGCTCTGGAAGCCAAATAGATGGATATGAAGGGGAAATTACAGCTCACCCTTGCTGCCAGGAGGAGTCAACTTCAGGCAGCTGTAAACTTGAGTATTACTGGCACGGATTTGTAATGAGCATTGAGATGAGACTAACAATGTACACTGGCTCAGACACCAGTCTGGTCCTGTATGCTGCTGTGGGGATCTAGATGTCTAAAACCAAGCTGTTAATACATCTAAATGTTGGTTGTCTACTGCCTGTTTTTTTATATAATCCTCAAAATAATATTTTCTTTTATCAAAATAATGATATATGATACATTAGATTTTTTGTTTGAACAATTAAAACTGTTGAGATTAAAACATTAAAATCAGTATCAAAATGTATTCAGTGAGGAACTTTAACACAGGAGTTTTATCTGGAGCTAAGGTGAATAGTTCCTCTGTTTATTTTGGAAATTTGTCTCTATTACCTAAAGCTCTAAGGAATAAAAGTAAAGCACTATGCTTATATGCTACCATGACTGTTTAAATGGGATTGAGACAATGAAGTAATTCAGAATATTATTAACTTGATGGTGAAGTGGGTTTGCCACTAAAACATGCCCCTTGCCTTGGATGTTGCAAAACTTACATAATTGTAATATTCTGTAGCCTCTTGAAGTTTTCTCCCCGAAACAGCAAATCATAAAGTCATAAAAAATAAATCTGTCTGGATAAGATTCTTCTGGCCATTTGCAAAACAACATAGTAGAAACTCATATCACAAAACTATGAAATGGTTTGGATTGGAAGATACCTTTAAAGACCATCTAGTCTATCCCCACTGCCATACCTGAGCTACCAGTTTGAACTCTCCCTATAATCAATGAAGGGAAAAAATCTAGGATTTGAGCTATCTCATTCTAGAATAGATGCCCAAATAGGTTAGGAGAGTGATTTTCATTGCAAATAGGTGAAACTGAAATTAATGGATCCCACCCCACAACATTGAATTTGTTAAAAACATTACAAGCACTGATCAGTATGGAAAGAGCATTAGTATAATATTTCATGATGGTGCACTGATTATTCATTGACTTATTGACATTTTTGCTCAGTCATAATCCAGCCAGCTAGGAAATGAGCCCTGCCTACTCACTAGGCTGGCAGGATAAGCTTCATCTGGTGTGCACAATGATTTCTTTCATGAAATCATCTTGGTATTCTTATCAAAGAACATTTATGGTTATCTATTGACTCAAAATAGAAATGGGAGACTTTTCTGAGCCACAAACATTTTTTAATCATAACATCTAGAATTGCTGAAATGGACTTTGACAATAAATCCTTGACAGAACAATAAAACCATAAGGGTTTTCTTTTGTGGGATGTTGGGGAAGGTTGTTTTTGGTTTTTCACAACCACCTCATGCAAGGTTATGCTCATCTCAGTGTTACCCAATAAAATCAAGTGTACAGAGGAAAGACACATGTCCAAGACCTTTGTTCGTTAAAATATCAGAGGGAGAAAAAGCATTTATCATTATAGTCTTAAATGGTATAAAAAAGAGTGGTAGGAAGAAAGACAGTGTGTCCCTGCCTTTGCCAACAGAACTAAATTCCACTTTAAAACCAAGCCTATTTAAAACACACTGGTGATTTATCATGTCAAAACCGAACAGCTATTTAATGGCAACAGATAAGACATCACACCTGGGTCAAAATTTCTTCAAAGAAGGACTTGCTAAGTAATTTAAGGGATTTGGGGGGAGGGACGTGTTTTTCTCAGAAAGGATTGTATTTGTGGGGGAAATACAGTCCAAATAGAAAAAAGTTATAATTTATGGCAAAATATGAGTCAGTAAAGCAATTTCAGAAACAGTGAAGGGAACATTAATAAGACTGTTATTGGAAACAAAAAATAAGGAAGAAAAGGACAGAGGCAGATAGACAAAAAGAAATACTATTTTTTTTAAATGGAAGGAGAATGAAGCAAAACAGGATAGGTCAACTTGAAAGAAAGAAAATGTTAAATATCATCAAGATCCAAAAATTTGCTGCACTCAAGTCAGCATGAAGGGAATTTGGCCCCAATCCATCTTTGTGTCCTGGATGTCATGTTGAAAGCAAATTCAACCTGTTTATAAATCAGAGCCAAATCTGCCCCAAATCTGTTGGCTATCTGGGCCTTTGAGAAGCTGGGGCTCATCAGAGCATAGCTGGTAACCAACGGGTACACCAAGAGACAGCTGTGGTAGTTCTATGGCCACTGGGGATGCCTGGAGAATGAAAGCAAGGAGGTTAAACAGCTGGCTTTCCCTCTGGAAAGGACACTAGGACACAGTGGATCTGGCCAAAGTATTTTTAGAGACATGATTAAGTGAGGCAGCAGGGTTTATTTTTAAATTAAGATGGAGGGTTATCAGTTTAAGTTTTGAAATAGGATTGAAACCACAAAAATAAAACCCAGTTATTTGGCTCTGTTGTAAGACCCATCCTAACTGCTTAGCCCAAGGTTTTCTGGCATGGGAGAAACTCAGCTGATTTAGACCGGATTCAGCCCTCCTCAGCTGAGGGATGTTTGACTTTGGGTTGTTTGGGGAGGTCAGTTAGAGAGCAAACACCTAATGTTGCTCCAGGCCAGAATCAAAACCTACCCCTGCAAAGATTTGGGCTGGGGAAACTTCCTGGACCTTTCCCCTCCAGGAGGGAACTGGGATGTGCTGATATGGGGAAATGTTATATTAGGACTTCATTCGGGGACCAAGGGGAGGCTTGGACCTCTTTTGGCTTCATCCATGGCAATTTGATTATTCTTAATATCAAGTAAACTGGTATGTTTTCTCCCCACCCCTGTCAATAGCAATATTATCATTATTTCACTGGAAGGCTCTTTTTTTGTACAGTGGTTTGGATTAAATTCCTTTTGTTCTTTTCAAGTATTTATATTTTTGAACTGAAAGCTGACCCCTTGGTGTGTTTTGCAGAACGCTTAACTTGCTTGGGTTTCTTGGGGAGAGAGAGGGGTGATGTCATTCACCACTTGATAAGGCTGAATCCTTTATCTATCTGAACTTGGACACTGGGGAGGATGGGAAAATCATTCCTCTTCCTTTCTGTCTCAAATCCACTTAATTTTTTTTTCTCTTTGTAGAGAAATACAAGTCTCCACTTACTCCTAGACTTCATAAA